GCTTATGCAAAATCATGGTGTTGCTCAAAATCATGGTCAAGTTGATTTGGGGAGCAAGATTGGGTTACTTTGTGGAATTGTAGAGCATTTAGGAGGTTCAAGATTCAGAGTTGGCAGAGTTTTGGAGGGGGATTCGACAGATGCTACAGTAGTTTACTGATGTTTTTTCAACAGCCAAGCGGGTTGCCACTTCGGAGGGAGCACGAGCACACTATTACATTGACGGAGGGTATTCTCCCATTAAAGTCAGACCATACAGATACCCCTAGATTCAAAAGGATGAGATAGAGAAGTTGGGCCGGGACATGCTCGGGGCTGGGATTATCAGGCCTATTGTAAGCTATTTTTCCAGACTTGTCCTGTTGGTGAAGAAAAATGATGGTAGTTGGAGATTGTGTGTGGATTACGGGGCTTTTAACAAGGAAATTGTGTTGGACAAGTTTCCTATTCTTGTGATTGATGACTTGCTTGATGAGCTTTATGGAGCAGTCATTTTCTCAAAAATCGATTTTAAGTCAGGGTACCACCAAATCAGGATGAAGCCAGCGGATGTGCACAATACAACATTTAGGACACGTGAAGGACATTATGAGCTCTTAGTGATGTCATTTGGCCGCACCAACGCCCTTACGACATTTCAATCTCTTATGAATAGGGTTTTTCAACTTTATCTTTAGAAATTTATCCTCGATTTCTTCGATGATATCTTGATCTACAGTCGTACGGAGACAGATCGTGTGGGCACCTGAGGACAATCCTGGAGATTTTGAGGGAGCACCAAGTATATGCTAACTTGAAGAAATGTTATTTGCTCAGTTACAGGTGGAGTACCTAGGACATGTGGTGACCAAGATGGAGGTAGCAATGGATCAATCCAAGAAAAAGGCTATGGTTGATTAGCCCTTACCGAGGAATTTAGAGTTTAGAAGATTCACAGGCTACTACCTGAAGTTCGTGAGACGATATGGCACGATAACATGGCCATTGACGGAGTAATTGAAGAAAGACAACTTCAATTGGGGGGAGCAGCCACATAGTCATTTGAGTATCTAAAGAGGTCGATGACTAGCGTACCAGTATTAGCGTTTCTAGATTTCAGTAAATCATTTGTGGTGGAGACGGATGCGTCAAGATACAGATTAGGAGCAGTACTCATGCAGGATCAACCATTTGTGGTGGAGACGGATGCTTGAGGATACGAATTAGGAGTAGAACTCATGCAGGATCGACGGTCGATTGTCCACTTCAGTCAGGTTCTTACAGTCAGAGCGAGGCTAAAGTCAGTATATAGATTGGAACTGATGGTGATTGTCTTGGCCATTCAGAAGTATCGACCCTACCTGTTGGGACGATATTTCTTGGTCAGGATAAATTAGAGGAGTTAAAGTACCTTTTGGAATAGCAGACGGTGACTTAGGAGAATCAAAGATGTCTATCCAAGCTATTGAGGTTCGAGGTTCAATACTGGTCAGGATTAAATAACAAGGGAGTTGTCGCACTGTCGAGAAAGGTGGAGGAACCCCAATTGACGGCCCTATCGGTACCCTTTGTCCTAGATTGTGGGGCCTTGAGATAGGAGAGCGAATGGGATAAGGAGCTGGGGAAAATAAGGGTTGAATTGCTACAGGATTTGAATAATCATCCAGAATATGCATTGACGGGACAACAGTTGCTCCACCGGTGGTGATTCGTGCTACCCAAGTCGTCAGAGTATATTCTCAGGTTATTACAAAAGTTTTATGGCAGTGCGATCGGCGAAGATTCAAGGGTGTTGAAGACCTACACAGTCGCCTGACGGCAGAACTTTATTGGGTAGAGATGCGCAGAGATGTAGAGGACATGATGCCAAGATGTGATGTGTGCCGGTGGCACATATACTTGACCACGACACCAGAAGGTTGCTACAACTATTAGCATTATCGGAGTAGGTTTGGGAGGAAGTGACAATGAATTTTATCGAGAGATTGCTACTGTCAGAAGGATTCACAGTGATTATGATAGTCGTGGATTGCTTAAGTATGCACATTTCATTCCATTACGACATCCCTACATTGTCATCTCAGTCACGGCGGTGTTTATCGGGAAGTAGTCCATTTGCATGGGTTGTCGGAATCGATTGTATCAGATAGAGAGAATGTGTTCCTCAGCCTTTTTTAGAAAGAGCTATTTAAGTTGCAAGAGACAGTCCTTAAAAGGAGCACCACATATCATCTTCAGACCGATGGGCAGACAGGTGTTCAATAAGAGTGTAGAGACATACTTGAGTTCTTTTATATCTGATACTCCAAAGTTTTGGTCTAAATGGATTGCATAGGCTGAATATTAGTATGCTACTTCGTACCACACCGCAGCACAAACAACTACTTTCAAGATATTGTATGAGTGGGATCCACCTCACTTAATACATTATGGGCATAACACTACATCGTTATTAGCGTTGATTAGTACTTGGAGGAGAGGGATCGGATACTATCAAAGCTTAAGGGGCATCTTCTGAGGGCTCAACAAATCATGTAAAGGAAAGTTGATGGATACAAGAGAGAGGTGCAATTTGAACCAGGGAAGTTGAGGCCTTACTGATAGAAGATATTGACTACGAGGAGTGAAAAACTTTCACATAGATGCTTTGGGCCTTATGAGGTGATGACATGCATCGGGGCAGTAGCGTACCGTTTGAGGTTACCACCATCATCTGCACTACAATCGGTCTTCTATGTATCCTAGTTGAGATGATAGATTGGAGATCACACCCCTCATCTACACTACCGCCGACGCAGACAGAGGATTTAGAGGTGATTCTGGAGCCATTAAAGATCGAAGGAGTGTGTCGAGGAGTAAGCGGAGCGAATGAGGTATTGGCTGAGTGGAAAGGACTGACAAACAATGAAGCAATATGGGAGCATTATGAGGTGATCCACAAATAGTTTCTATCTTTCCACCTTGAGGACAATGTACTTTTTAAGAGGACAGTAATGTTACACCCAGTACGCAGCCAGTCCCTCCTAGACCAGCCAATTGCAATCCCGCCGGCCAACAGTCGGGTCGGCCTTTGTCACGGGAAGAAGGGGAGGGAACTGGGAGAGGCGTAGAGGAAGGAAATGAAGGGTGGGGTCCACTATGACCATAATCACATATTCAAGGATGAGAATTGAGGGGAGTTTGGAGGAAAGTTTTGAAATGTTGTTTGAGGATTCTATTAAGGGAGAACTAGGGTTTGTTTTATTTTTTCATGCATTTTTTTGTGGTTGTTGTTTGTTTTCTTCTTATGGTGTTCTTAGCGACTTCTAAGGTGTGGGAGAGACGATCTACCTTTTGAATAGTAGATCACCTTGTATCTTGCTTGCTTTCCTTTGATTTTTATAAAACCAGCCTTTAGTTATGTTTTGTTCCACCTATCTACTGCTATTTTGTCATGGTTTGTTCGCTGATTTCGGTGTCGAGGCGTATCAATTCTTTGAACGAAACAAGACACGATTGGTCGCCACAGGGTACTCACAGAACTACGGAGTTGACTGTGAGGAGACGTTTTCTCCAATTGCCAAATTAAACACCATGTTAGTTATATTATCCCTTGAGGTGAATCTGGATTGGCTCTTATTCCATCTTGATGTCAAGAATGTGTTTCTGAACGGCGATCTTACAGAGGAGGTATACATGTCCCTTCCTTCAAGCTTTGATCTCAGTGTCTCCCAGGAGCAAGTGTGTAGACAGCGAAAGTCCCTCTATGGACTAAAGCAATCACCACAAGTCTGGTTCGATAAGTTCACATAGGTGGTTGTGGGCCATGAATTTACTCAGCTCAATTGGATCACACTTTTCGGCATTCCTCTAGTGGCCAGATTGTTATTCTTATCATTTATGTTAATAATATTGTACTCACAGGTAATGATCTACCAACATTGGAGTTTGTGAAAGGCACTCTTGCTACTTCCTTTGAAATGAAGGACTTGAGATCTCTCCAGTACTTCTTAGGCATGAAAGTTGCTCGGTCATCTCGGGGCATTTGCCTATCTCAACGAAAATATGTGAGGGAGTATTAGAATATTAATGGCTATTACTAGTCATTATTAATTGTTATTCATTCTCGTAGCTTTGGCTTTCTTATTATTGTTTTATTTCTTTCCACTATATCATATTTTTATTTCTTTCCTTACTGGTGGATCCCGTAATGGGTTTATATTCTCTTTTTTGTATCAATAAGAATTATTCTGGTTCTATTCTAACACGAATAATAACATCCGTTCCCAATTTCTCGTCTTCAAACATCAAAAGGAGGCCAATGTGGCTAAATATGCAAGTATGGAACTAACTATAGCTAGTAGAAGCTGTCTTCAGTTATTTATTTTCTTTGCTTAGAAAATCTGAATATGAAGTGAAAAATAAAATTTTCTCTGGCTAGTAAATATTGTAAGTTTCTTCCAGGAAGGACGCGCTTCATCAAGCTGTAGTGTTATAATACATCTTGGGGCATTTGCCTATCTCAACGAAAATATGTGAGGGAGTATTATAATATTAATGGCTATTACTAATCACTATTAATTGTTATTAATTCTTGTAGCTTTGATTTTTTTATTATTGTTTTATTTTTTCTACTATATACTATTTTTATTTCTTTCCGTGGATCCTATAATGGGTTTATATTCCCTTTTTTTTGTATCAATAAGAATTATTCTGGTTCTATTCTAACACGAATAATAACACTTGTGCCCAATTTCTTGTCATCAAATGAAAGCCAATGTGGCTAAATATGCTAGTATGGAACTACAGATAGTAGAAGCTGTCTTCAGTTATTTATTTTCTTTGCTTAGAATATCTGAATATGAAGTGAAAGATAAAATTTTCTCTTGCTGGTGAATATTTTAAGTTTCTTCCGGGAAGGATGCGCTTCATCAAGCTGTGGTGTTATAATACATTGAAAGTCTTAGGTAGAAGCCTTTGATAAGTTTCTCACTTGCACTTTAATTTATTGTAAGTTTTGATCTAGTTATATTCCTATGCTGCAGCCCCAGGCCTGTGATATCCGATTGGGATTATAGATGGATGGATTTCCCTTCACATGCAAAACATCTGAGTCATCCATATGATCAGTCACTGGCTACATACCGAGGTCATTTAGTTTTACGCACTCTGATCCGCTGCTATTTTTCCCCATCACACAGGTACTTTCTGCAGTTCATATCGTCCAGAATTTTATTATCAGCCGTGTTTTTCATTAACTAAAACTTCCGTGCCCGTTATTTTATGAACTTCATCGATAATATAGAGAATTCACTATTTTTATCATCACATACTTGTGCAGCACTGGACAGAGATACATCTACACAGGATCTCATGATAATAGTGTCTATATATATGATGTGGTATGTACTTTTTTTTCCCAGTTCCTTTCTTCCACTTGTTTCTTTTTATTTCATCTGCCCCGCTTATGATGCTACAATAAATTCTCATGTGAAAAGCTAGTGCTCAACTTAGTTGCTGGAACTTGATTAAATGGAAATGCGGGGGCTAAAATTTTCAAATAGAATGGCTGCAGATCTGTATAATTAGGGGCACAAGTTGTCTGGATGTGATTTCATTTTCTTACACTTTTGAATACATCTTAAGCAACTTGTTTCTTTCAGAGTTAAGATAAGTAAAATGCCAAAATATTTCCTTCTGTTTAATGGGGCCTTTTTAGTCTGAGAGTATAAAATTGTCAAATTAGTCCCTGGATTCTTTAAATTAGGGCTTGGACTATTTCCACTCATATCTGAGGACTAAATTGTTACTTGTACAAAATTTGGGAATACAATGATATCGTGTGTGGGAAGTGGCCGACCTGTGTGCTCGATTAGGTAGGAATTTATTTCTTTTTTTCAGAATATATTTCAATATTTGTTTTTCCTTTATTGTATATTTTCTATTTTTCTTTTTTCTTATTTTGGTAGGATTTTTAATTTAAAGGGGTTCCAATTTTCTATTTTGTGAACTGATATGCCGGCCACTCTATTACATATAGGAGGGTGTATTTCATTATTTTGAGGATTAAAATTGTTCCCAGATTTCTTTATCCTGCAAAGAGCTGAAGACTATTTTGACGCTTTTCTCATTTGATATGGATCTTTGCTGTTTCCTCTTCTACTAGTTCTGTTCTGCTTAAATTTATCTTGCCAATTTTTCAGGTAACTGGAGATCAAGTTGCTAGACTTAATTGCCATCAAATGACAGTTAGAGACTGCAGTTGGCATCCTTACTATCCTATACTAGTCAGTTCGGCTTGGGATGGCCTCATTGCCAGATGGGAGTTCCCTGGTAGTGACAAGACCCCTGCGTTCAGCAAAAGCAGCTGGGCTGCTTTTGAAGACCACATATACTTGTAAAGTCATCTTTAATATAATTATTTACATTTATATACTTGTTCACGAACTTCCGAACTGTCTGTGTATAGTAAAAACAAACAATTTCATATAGTGGCATGTACATAGTTTTATTAACTAAAGTGAAATGTGTCAAAATTGCCCTCAGAGTCTTTTGTAGAAGGTAACTTATTGCTAAGAAGTTGACGGACTTGGAAAAGGAGAGTTGTATTGAATGGGAGCTTGCTATTTTAGTTAATTATTTTTTGCCTATCAAAATAGGATAACTTGATCTTAATGATCTGCATTTGATGGATGATGGGTCGATGATAATTAAATTTGTTGAATATCTTGGTTTTTAAAATAACTTGTTCAGTTGAAACTTGAGGTTCACAATTGAGTAAATTATAATTGAGAGGAGAGTTCTTTACCAAGCTTTATCTTGTCATCGCCTTTTAAAGGACATGCCATCTAAATTATAACAGTAGTATTATTCACATTGTTGAGCGATTGATTGATATTGATGTGGTGATTTTATGATTCAATATTAAGGTGATACATACTTCAAATAATAAATATTGATTTTAGTGGTATATTTCAATTATGTAGTAGTCACTCACCAGCCTCTATTTTTATGATGGGCAAACTTTGGAACTAAATCTATGTGAAGCTTTACCCATCACTATTTAGAAAAAATATGAATTTTTTTTTGTTGATGTGATTTTGTTAACAAATATATTTTTTTTGTATTGTATATGTATGGTTGAATTTTGCTTCCAATCAAAGTTAAAAACAAGAGACACCAATTAAAGTTTTGTATTGTTGAATATATTTACTTATGACAGGCAGATGGTAAAAAACATAAGATACGGATCAATTCTCTATACCGTTAGATTTGTCTCTCTATGAACCTCAGATTGTAATTCATGTGATTTCCTAAGGGATTGTTAGCCCTTGCTAAATTTTCCTCTCATTTTTAACTTTTATTTCTATTTTGCAATGCCCATGAGAGATGCATATATATATATATATATATATATGTATATATGTATGTA